CCCCAGTGTTTCATGTGTGCAGGTTGTGCGTGCCCATGAGAGTGCCGTGACAGGGCTGAGTCTCCATGCCACAGGCGATTACCTACTGAGCTCCTCTGATGACCAGGTGAGATCGAAAGCAGAGGTGGTCAGGCCCAGATTGTGTTAACTGTAAAGCTCTTCATGCTAAAATGACATCTGCAAAATGTGAAGCTGCACTTGTATATTTGCTTATCAGCTTTATTTTAAACATTTCTATCTCATTTTTTAACATAACAATTCTTTAAATGTGGTTCACACTTTAGAGATAACAGTCAATAAAACAATCTAGTTCACAATGAAAAGGTACAAACATTGACATTAAAAAAAAAATCCAAAACATAAAACAGTAAGGATTAGTCAAAGAAAGCTTTCCAGAAGAAACATTTTGCCATATACAATCCCTCCACCTTTCCTCTCTTTCAGTATTGGGCTTTCTCCGACATCCAGACCGGCCGTGTTCTCACCAAGGTCACAGATGAAACTTCTGGCTGTGGTAGGGGCTCTACATTTGGTATTTTGGTGAAACCTGCTTGAGAGAGGGGAGAGTCTGCATGTTTAGTGTGGTCTTGTTTCGCCATAATGTTAAACCATAGTTTAGTGTTCTGAGAACAAGCATAGCTTTCCTCCAGCCTTGTTCACTCCCCCTCCAGTACAGCCTCAATAAGGAATCCAAAAACTGCTGCTTCTGGTTTTTGTGTAACCACAGCTTGCAGTATTGGCTGAATCTGGACAAACTGAGTTGTCATGACTGTGGTTAATGGAAACAAGTTAATATCAAGTAATAGTTTATTTGCTTATTTCAACTGAGCTTATTTAAGATTAATCACAGTTTAGCATGTTGCACAAACTCTAAACTGTGGTTAATCTAAACCAGAAGTGGCAGCTTCTAGTCTCCTTATGATTGCACTGGGGAAGAAAAGAGACTTTAGATGAGCCTTGTGTGGAGGGCTAGGCTAATTCTCATAAAGCTGAACCATAGATTTGCATCATTCCCAAGCACAGCTCATGTTTTGATACATGGGTGGGAGAAGGCTGGGTAGGGACTTCATTTCCCTATAGGAATGGCTTACTCTCAGCTTTGTGATGATTCACTATCTCCTTTCTCTGCAGCGCTGACCTGTGCCCAGTTTCATCCTGATGGGCTTATTTTTGGGACAGGAACAATGGACTCTCAGATTAAGATCTGGGACTTGAAGGTGAGAAAAGGCTTGGAATATTGAGCTCCTTCATGATATCTACCTTAAGGATAGCTGATAATGTTGTGTGACACATATAGAATATTCCAAAGTGCTTTATAAATGCTGACTCCTTGTCCATATTATTGAATGAGAAATTGCATAAAGGCTAGGCTTGCATAGTCATTTGAGATCTCAAAAGCCTGCTCTGCAATAGCTCAGAACAGGGCTTTTGGTGTGACTGTCTCAGTTCTGTAGAAGAGCATTCCTGTTGAGATATGACAGCCACACACTATCTCCACTTTTTGGGAAAAATGGAAGACATTTGTGTTCCAACAGGCTTTCCCAGGTGGATAAATGGGTATTTGCCAGGAGTGTCTACTTGTTAGGGTTTTAGTCTTGTTTTAAATGTATTTCTTGTTTTTGTCGTTTTAACTGCTTTTGATTATATTATATATAAATTGCCTTGAGACAGTGGTTTAGAAAGTAATTAATAGACATTGATTATAATGGTACTAATATGAGCAAGGAATATTCAAGAGGTGCTACTACTGCCCATTCTAGAGCTGGAACTAGATTTAGAATAGCCAAAGATTCTACTAGTATCTTCTAGATATCTCCTGTAGTTTTTGTTAAGTGAATGGTGCCACAGATGCCTGAGTGGGTTATGCAAACCCTCCGGGGTCCACAGACCACCAGTTGGGAACCACTGAGTTAGAGACATCTCACACGGATGTCATGAGAAAGTGGTGCTTATTAACATGCTTAAATTTTCTGTACAATTTCAGCAAGGGTCCCTACTGCAAGTTCCCCCACATCAAAAGATTCGTTTTAGTTTTGCCACTGAAAACTCTTTGGAAGCACTTCATCTTTTCTTTCAGTGACTCTTAACCTGTTTTGGGGCCCACTATCGAAAGACCAGTTTTAATTTCCTGTCTACCTGAAAGTTGCTATCACTTCCTAAGAGGAGCCAGACTCAAAATGCCATGCAGAAAGTATGTCACAGGGAGGATAAACTCACTCTTATTCACTGTGCAGGCAGGGAAGGTGTAGAAGTTTTGCATCCTTTGGGAAGATAGGATCAGGCCTAACCTGTCTCTAACACATACTGACTTGTTTTTCTCAGGAAAGGACCAACGTTGCAAACTTCCCAGGACACTCTGGCCCTATTACTAGCATTGCCTTCTCTGAGAATGGGTACTACCTGGCCACTGCTGCTGACGACTCCTCTGTCAAACTCTGGGATCTGCGCAAACTGAAGAACTTTAAGACCCTGCAACTGGACAATAACTTTGAGGTTTGTGTGACCCTCTCTTGCTAGTAAGCCTAGTAGTAGGCCTGTATTCCTTCTCCTTCTTTTCTTGACAACACTTGGAATTTTCTCAGGTTCCTCCCCTTCATTTTAAAGCCCAGTGCACCCATTTTCTCTACACTTTTGGCAGCTCTCTGAACCTTGCACAGCTGCCTCCTTTAAATGGACAGAGGTTGCTACTGCCCCAGCCTGAGAGGACTGGGCATAGCTACTTCTGAAGTGGATGTGTTCATCTCAAATACCATTTTTCTCTTTAGGTGAAGTCCCTCATATTTGACCAGAGTGGCACCTATTTGGCCCTAGGTGGCACTGATGTCCAAGTCTACATCTGTAAGCAATGGACGGAGGTTCTCCACTTCACAGGTAAGGGGGGTTCTGGGTCCTGTGTGCCATTCTTGAGGGGCTTTATATTCAGACATTTGTACTGTTGGCCAGTATCACTGTTTGTGGTGTGTGAGGTGACAAAACAATGAAATAATTTCTCACTCAACTGTCTTTGTTTCCTTTCCTACAGAGCATAGCGGCCTGACCACAGGAGTGGCCTTTGGGCATCATGCTAAGTTCCTTGCTTCGACAGGCATGGACAGAAGCCTGAAATTCTACAGTGTGTAGTTTCTCCTACCAGGATGCGTTGAGAGCAGAGCCTATTCTTCACTGTAGTGTTAAGATAATCGGGGCAACCATGGGGCACATGGGTGGGGGGTGGGAGGGATATGGGGGGAAATAGGGTGCATCATAGCTTTTTATCTTGGTTCAGGCTACCTGTAGAATGGAAAGTTGAGCCCAGTACTAAATGGATTTGTTTTCCTCTGTTCCTTCAGCTTTGTCTGTGCTGTGATTGTAACAATATTGAGCCAAACCCATCCAGTGTTGACCATCAAATGAGGGTTGGTGGCAGGAATTAAGGCTGAAGAAAGGGATGGGGAGATGTGCAGGTTTTTTGTATGCAACTCTCTAGTTTCATTAAAAAATATTAAACTATTACCATTTAAGTGTCTAAATAAGCAAATGCACAGGGAAGTTGTACCTCTCTCACACACTCAAGCATAAAAACATTTCAGCCTTAGGTGAGGGTTGGGGTTTTTTTTAAGTACTTTCATATCATAAGGTGAGGTACAACTTCCCTGTGCATTTACTAGAAACTTACGTTAACATACTTATCTACCTGTATCAGCAAATGTGGAGGGCAAGACACTTTAGAGAGTGTGGTGTACAGCTAGGAAACTCCCCACCCCAAGCTGGAAAGCTAAGATTTGCTTCACATGTAATCAGGTGTACAGGTTCAAAAAGTTGAAAATAAATTCCTTGATAGTTGAGACAAAGTATGTTATAGCCAACACTAGCTCTATGAAGTAAAGACACAATGGAATGAAATATCAGGCTCTCACTTTCCCCTTTATGCACAAGAAAGTAAACGTAAAAGGGATGAGAATGTATAGTGACAGACCAAAATCTGAAAGTGGGACAGACGTTCCCCTTGCCATGCTAATGAGCTCCTGGTTTGGATGGGAACTTCTAGCTTGTTGTAGCCCCTGATGTTTAACTAACTGGAGAGTAATGGCAAGAATTGTAAGACACTGGAGGGTTGGCCCTGCTTTTATTGCAAGCAGTACTGTGGACCAGTTGTGTTTTATCTTTGGTTGTCACCTATAAGCTTTTCTCTATGTAAGTAAGCCATGCAGTGGAGAATAACTTTCAGGGCTACAATACAATTCAACTTCTTGGGAGTAAGCCCTTTGAAACAAGTGATCAACATGCATGGAATGCACCATTACCCTCAATTGTTATTAGTCTACATAAGAAGAGGGCTGCTAGATTAGACCAATGTCCCATCGAGTCCAGCATCCTGTTCACAGTGGCCAACCAGGTATTTGTATGAAACCCTCAAGCAGGATCTGTGTGGAAATGGTTTTTTTATTTCATGTTCTGGATTTGCTCTAGATATTTACTCATGCTTTTATTCAAATCCATTCTGTGGAGAGGGATTTTTGTTTCCTTTTGCAGCAGAATGAAGGAACTGGGAATAACAGTTCTACAGATCCAAGTATCTACCATGATAGGCACCATTAAGAACACAAAATACAGTGGTACCTCGGGTTACATACGCTTCAGGTTACAGACTCCGCTAACCCAGAAATAGTACCTTGGGTTAAGAACTTTGCTTCAGGATGAGAACAGAAATCATGCTCCAGCGGCGCGGCAGCAGCAGGAGGCTCCATTAGCTAAAGTGGTGCTTCAGGTTAAGAACAGTTTCAGGTCAAGAACGGACCTCCGGAACGAATTAAGTACTTAACCTGAGGTACCACTGTATTGTATTTCCAGGCTTACAAGCACAAGAGGGGTCATATGAAGCACTGTCACCAGGGATGGTTCCACTAAAATTATGTAGGTGATGGGGAGGAAAGTGTAGATGCCTTTAACTTGTCAGCAAAGAGACGGCATACCTGGTCATTGAAGCAACTGGTATGTCAGAAGAATTACTGGAAGCAATGAAAGTTTACAACTCTTTAATTCTATGCATTTTCCCATCAGTACTAGAGTTTTGTCACTCTGCTTCTCTTTTTCCAGAGTACGATCACAACAACAAACAAGATTACACCCACTAACGGCAGTGCCACCAAGCATATCAGGGCCAGATCTCCACTGGAGCTCATGTCTGTGGAAAAGAAAAGAGGCTTGCACTTATTTTGCAAGATTTATGTACAACTTAATAAAAAAAGAAATCTTAAGTGGTTTCTATAAAGTGGTATAGATAATTTAGAAATAGCAATTAAAACTCTAAACACAGTAAACATAATAAAACCAGTAGATTTTTAAAACGTACATGATAAATGTTTGCTCAAACAAAAACATTTTTAGCAGACATCATAAGCAGTACAGTGAAGGGTCTGCCCAATATCAATAGGCAATAAGTACTTGAGAACAGAACATAGGAAGCTGCCATACACAAAGACCAACCATTGGTCCATCCAACTCCATATTGTCTACATTGACTGGCTGCAGCTCTCCAGGGTTTCAGGCAGGGATGCTCTTCCAACCCTACCTGGATATGCTAGGGTTTGAACCCAGAACCTTCTGCATGCAAACAAGCTCTGCTACTGAGCTAGGTCCTTCCCCAGCAAATACTGCTACATGATAAAATTCATGCCAAGTGCAGAATGAACACTATGTGGCACTTGTAAGGGTGATAGTTACAGATCAAAGCTGGCACATTTGGGGTATGGCAGTCCTTTGCACCTCCTGAAACACATTTGTGCCATCCATGACTTCCCTAGCCAAGGACCCATGGTATGTTCTATTGGGACAAAGCTAGTAGAGTGTACTCTGGATAAAACCGCATTTGTGAGACATGGTTTATTATGTGCATGTTCAAGAACTGCAGTGGTCAGGGTAGGTGCTCACCTGAGCTGCTGTTGCTGCAGCTTGTCAGCAGAAAGCACATGGTGACAGCAAATGGTGTGAGTGCACTTTGCTATTGCCCCATGCCCCACTGATAAGCCATGGTGCCACTAGCTATGGGAGGGCAGATAAATGCCATGTGCCCTGCCGAGTAGTACTCCTCACGAGCTAAAAAGTTGTGACATTGTTAGGAGGACATTGGTAGTCAAGTTTATAACTTGTGACCCCCCACCCCAAGTTTTAGTTGGCTGCTTCAGGCATAAATCCATACAGAGTTTGTATCTTACAAAGGACTATATATAAGATGACTGAAATTTAGTGCTGATGGCGAAACTATGTTAATAACTGTTCAAAAATATACAGCATTTTCATCATTTCAACTCACTCACTGGTCCCAACCACTGGTGCCAACCACCAATTACCTTTCTTCCATTTGGCTTGTTTATCATGAGTCTCGCTGCTTTCTTGAAAGATCACACCTCCGTAAGTGCTTACTAGGTCCAAGGATTCTGTCCCATTGCCTGTCTTCAAAAACCGACGACTTCCTAAAAAGGGAGTTGGAGAAAGAAAGCAGGTATAAACTCTACTAGGCCACCTTGTGCCATATACAATTTTGAAGGTAAGAAGGAAAAGGAGCACAGCATGGATCATATTGTTAGAGCTGGAAGCCTGCAGGAGGGCTATGCCCTAGAAACCCATGTATACACCCAATGACGAGAGACAGATACAAGCCTTAACATAAAGAGTATTTGCATTCTGAATGCTTTACCCCAGTAAAGAACCATAGCCAGACCCCTACACATCAGGACTGAAGCTTTAATTGGGGGGAGTGTTGCTGAGCCCCAGCATCACATCAGCAGGCCAGCACTGCTAAGTGGGAAGATTCTGCTGAGATGGATCTTCATTTGAGGTTAGGAGTCAGAGCACCTGGTTGTTGGAGTGTCCTTGTAGATGGGCTGTTAGAATTGGTGGTATGTGCTAAGGTTTGTGAAGAGAGGCAATATGCTGTTAAAAATAGCACATAAGAGCCACTTGAACAGGGAGTGTGTTTATCAGGTACCTATTCATTCATCCTTTGTCTCTAGTTGCAGCCCATCAGCTCTTAGTGCTCTGCATTTATGCCCCCAGTTCCAAGTTCAGTACCAAGATCTATTTTTGTTTACTGGTCATGGGCAGTAAGTGCCATTTGTGCATGCTGGAAATACTGGTGGCAACCTATCTGGATTCAAATAAGCCTTTTACGGTATGACAGCAAAGCCATTTGGACTTACTTGCAGCCACTGGCATTTGACACGTGTTCCTGCAGGGCTGCAGGTGAGAGGGGTGGCAGACAGACACACTGCAGAAGAGGTACACCTAGGAAAGACATTGCATTAGATAAGCTTGCTAGCAGAGGAGTCAACCCAAGTCTTCCAAGATATTTTAATAAAATCCTCATGGTCATTGACGTAAACATTTACAAAGTACATTATCTCCTTACAGTTAAAGCATAATTCTAAATGTGCATTAATGGGAGTGGGAAGGGGAACCTCTGGCCCATGGACCTAATCTTTAAGCTTGCCAAGCCTCCTAGTTTTGCCCCACTGCCATGCCCACCTGCCGCTCACCTGACAAGTGAGGGACATGTAAAACATGCTGCAAAGGAACATTAAGAGTGTTCTCCTGATGGTTCCTTTGCCAGCATAGCTTGCATTCAAGTAGAATTAAATTAAACACCATTTCAATTTGGCACCTAATGCAAGCCATGCTGCCTAGGGTCAGATCTACTCAGAGACTCTTGACTGCAGCTTACAAGGGGATCAGATATCTGCCCAGAGCAAGATAGCTTGCATTTTGAGATAAATTTAAACAGCTGAATTCAGCATTCATCCTACTTCTGCTCGTGCCACAGAGGACCTGACTGAAGCTCATGGACCACTTAAGGTCTGCAGACCACAATTTCGGAGCCCTTACTCGAGCTCAGCTGCAGTAGGAATCCTGTCTTACCAATCCATCCAGCACCATATAATGGGCAGAATCCACAAATGTAAATGTAGCAATGGTGAAACGCTGGTAATGGTCTGGAAACTGCAACTGAGACGTGGCAGGCCCCATAGGAACCATCTGGGTTCTGTAGTTATCGCCTTCAAATGGGCACCTAGGGAAGAGAGGCATTGCCATTTGAGCAGAGAACAGTAGGTGGCAATCCATAGAGAGAAACCAGCAGAATTCCTCCTTCCTACTTAACTCACCCATCTATCAGAATTGGCCACTGCAGCTTCTCAAGGGGGTTAGGGGTAGGGGTAGCCCAGCATTCATGCAGAACCAGAACCAAGGATGGGTCCATTCTCTGCAGGACGCGAACCTCCACATACACAGGGTCTCTCAGTATCTTCACCACAGGATAGTCTGCATCCACGTAGTAGGAGCTGTAACTGTAGTCTGGGTACAAGAGGCAAAGCGAAAGTTAGCACCTATATGGGACTTCAGAGGGAGCACTGTTGGAACCAGAAGCTTTGGAAGCACACCTACCTGTAGCAATACGCAGCTCAAACCGGAGAGGCCCCATCTCGATAACCGGAGCAGGTGTGGGAGGAAAGAAGACTTCAACCTGAACTGGCAAGAAGTCAGTGGCGTTGTAGATGCAGCGAGTATTGAGGCTGCATATGGAAGACAGGACAGTGGAATGATGCATAGTCTTGCCATGTTCAGTAGCCTTGTCACATATCTGAAGTTCTCAAAAGATTCTTACGTTTTCCTGGCCACTTAGGCAGCACATCTTTTTTGATGCGTATATCCCTGTTAACACCCCTTTCAAACAATACTGGATGTGACTTAAATTACTGTCTTCCAAAAGCACTGTTGATTGAAACCACACTTTTAAAAAAACCACACTTTTCCTCCACATGTCTCATTTTTGAAGCAAGATTCCTCACTTGAGCACCTGAATGATTGTGCTTATGCACCTGAAAAGTAGTTTGCAACCAACAGCTGTTACCCTACTGGAAAATCCAAATTACAGTTGTATCTTGGAACTCGAACGTCTGCTGCAGCTTCCAATTGGCTGCAGGAACTTCCTGCAGCCAATTGGAAGCCACACCTTGGCTTCTGAACATTTTGGAAGTCAAATGGACTTCAAGAACAGATTCCGTTCGACTTCAACAGATACCACTGTATAGAAGACTGCTATTCAAGCTTAGCGGTGATAGGAACAGTAGGCCTGCCCTGATTAGGACCAGCATGACGCCTCTTAGACATAGTATAGAGAGCAACCACCACCGCAGTAATGCGTGGGACAGATCAACTTACATGAAGGTGCTGTCCCGGGTAATAAAACCATCTGGCCCCCTTAAGATTTCAACACCTGAAACCAACTGGTTTTCATATATCAGTCTGCCACCAGTCATCTAGGAAGGAACAGCAGCACATGTATAATTCTTTTTATCAAGCTTCAAGGTCCAGATGAAGGGACACTCGCCTAAGATGCGTCCTCACCTGAATCGTCGTACCACAGTGTGTGAGAGGGAAGTGGAAGACCAAGAAAGACTCCGTTTTCCTGACAGGGTCACATCCTCCTTGGGCATAGGACAGTTTGACACTGTCAAGGAAGATGGGGTAGTCCAACATATCCCTGGAGACAACTAAAATGAAGTGGCCATCTCGAAGGCATTGGACAGTGACTGCAAAGCACAAACACAACACAAGAGTCACAAGCTGGAATTTGCCATCTTTTGCAGGACCTGAAACTCTTAAGTTTCAAAAGAATATGAGCTTTCTGTCTTCTCCTTGCACAAATCTGGGGCAGGCTCTATTCGGATTGAGGGGAGGACTTCATTTTTCAGCTGCCCTAAAATGTCAGGAGACAAGTTCTCTATTTGCTGCTAAGTCACACAATTCCTATTAGGAAATGCTCACAGGACTTGGTTTCTCCATGTGAATCAATATACAATTGACACTGCCAGTAGAGGAAGAATTGGTTTCCCAGGACAGAGAGAGCCCTAACCGTGACAGCTCTAGATACTGTGAACCTGCAGCATGAGCCCAGGTTCACAGGTTGCACCATAGCCATATTAAGCTGTCCACTGAATTGCAACATCACATTTCTCCAGACGATGGACATGCAATGGTACACAATTTGTTTTCAGAATTGTATACCTTCAGACATCGCTTTGTACACCAGCTTGTTAAAGTTATACACACAGCAGTGTTACAATTGCACCATTGCCCACTGAAAAATAAAAATAAAATTGGTCTTTCAAGAAAAACAAAACAAACAAAACAAAAAAACAAAAAAACCAGCAGGTACAGGAGGCAAGAAAGGGGAAAGAACAATAAAAATATTCTTCAAATCCCTTCCCTCAGGATATGGTCTCCATATCCTGCCATGCCTATGTGTGGAAGGTACTGTTTTATGTTTTTCTGAGATGGACCATGGCTTTCTGTGTTTGGGAGGCAAGAGGAGGGGTAGAATCTGGAATTTGGAGGCAACTCTCCCCCTCTGTCATCTGGCTGTTTTTGGCCCTGGTGAGATGCTCCTCAGAGGGTTGGTGGTTCTCTGGTGGGGTAGTCACACACAATTTTTGAAAATGTGGTTTTGGCAAAATGGGTAAAGAACCCCACACGCTGTTCAATTAATTAACAACAACCCCACACATTTTGGCTACTGTGAAACATGCTTAAATGTTTGTTTGGTAGAGGTCTGTTGTTGCACAATTTCACAGACAAAATATTTCTTTATAAAATATCTGCATGCATGCCCCAAATGACCTGAGATTTCTAGAGCTTCCAGAGAATGAATGAATCTTTATTTGCATCAGCCACCAGCCATAGCAATAAAACATACAATACAATATACAAAGGAAGCAGGAAGTAGAAACAGAGGGAACCCCATCCCACAGCACAAATGAATCCCTTCAAGCAGAGTTTAGAACCCTGAAGAGCCTGGAACGGGAAGGTAACTCAAAGTAACACCAGCTAGCATGGTATAGAAGCTGTTTCTACCCCACTTAATAAGGACCAATTTAGATGTTCTTATTGTGCAGTCACGATGATTTACACTCATGATGCTACTGGAGCAGTCACATGCAGCCCAGCTTTCAATACTATTTGTGCCAAACAAAAATGTTGGGGGGGGGCAGTCATACTGCTTCATTTGCAATCATTGCATGTCCTGTAAATTCCTGTTGAAATCCCGGGTCTCTCTTCATACCATAAATGTTAATGGTTTTGTTGCTGCTTTATAGGCCCCTCCAGACAGCAATAATGTGGTAGCATCAGGGAAGCACCACAAAGCAACATGAAACCATCACTAGTGCACTATTATTGTGTCAAGAACATGTTACAAAATACACCCGTAATAAAACACTAGCCTGGAGGAGCCTTTAAGCAGTACTATACAGTGGTACCTCTGGATGCGAACGGGATCTGTTCTGAAACCCCATTCGCATCCAGAAGCGAACACAATCCACGTCCGCGGGTGCATGGGTCGCAATTTGCCGCTTCTGCGCATGTGTGATGTCATTTTGACCGCATGCGCAAGCGGCGAAACCCGGAAGTAACGCGCTCCATTACTTCCCCGAAAACACTTATCCCGAAGCAACTTCAACCCAAGGTGTGACTGTATAGTATCCTGGTTCGTGATACCTGTACTTTGAACTGTGCTGGATACATATTTATCCTGCTAGCCTCTGGATTCTCAGCAGTAGCCAGCACAGGACAGAATCCCAGTGTGGCTTTTAGTGTCAGGTGTATTGAACTCAGCATAGCTGGGAGTTCATCTGTAGGAGTTTTTAAACCATGATACTGGGGAGGAGGAGTTAGAGTGCTTTGCTCCTCCCCCCAGCCAACCTGCTGTGCTACCTGGAGCTAAGCCATGATTTCGCTTAGCATGACATCTAAATGCAGGCTCATGGTTTCTGTTGATCTAGAGAAGACACAAGCTGTAGCCAAGGCTTGTTCCTGGCTTGCTGCCTGTGGGTTGGGGCAAACCATGAGCTCTGGTTCAGATGCAATGCTAAGCCACAAGCCATGATTCAGTAGCAGCAGAACAACTAGGGAAGGAGTGAATTGGCTGCATTTTTTTACTGTGAGCAACCGCTTATACATCCATGCTTAGCCCTTGTTTGGTTTAGCATCATATGCAAACCGGGCTATTATTTCCTTAGTACAAGCAATAAGTCCCCTTGGTAAATGAATCATTACCATGGTTGCCAGCCTAATTTACCACCAGCACGCCAGACAATTAGCAGGAAACTAAAAGAAACAAAGTATTTTGCCCTTTACCTGTGTTGCCATAGTAACATGGAGTAGTTTGGTCCCTCTCATCATAACAGCATCCAGTCTGGTAACATTCAGCTTGTCCTAGTGAACCTGCACAGGGAATCTTTCCAGATGAAACCTGGCACTGCTCCTGGGTTAGAGGAGAACCTGGGAGGGCAAGAAAAGAGCTACAGCATTATCTGGAGCATGATAAAGTATGCCCTATTAGGACTGGCTAGCATGCCACGTTAAGCCAGATTTTGAAATAAGCAATAGCTTGATGTGAATGCGTAGTGGGTCAGTCCCTGCAATGAACAAGTGGGAAGCCAAGAACAAATATTTTTTGTGTCCAATGAATCTTTAAAGGAAGTAGAATGCTCTTTTTAAAGGAACTAAAGGTCTCTCCTAGAAAGCTTATCAGATATTCAGAGGCAGAAATAGATCACATTCTTCATACACAGTGGTGCCTCGCAAGACGAAATTAATTCGTTCCGCAAGTTTTTTCTTCTTGCGAGTTTTTCGTCTTGCGAAGCACGGTTTCCCATAGGAATGCATTGAAAATCAATCAATGAATTCCTAAGGAGACCGTCGGGGACAGTGGGGAAGCGCCGCGCGCCTTCTCCTCTGTCCCTGGACCTGTTTTAAAGCAAGGGGCAGCGGAGAGAAGATTGCTTCTCCCCGTTGCCTGCCCCGCAAACTCCGGGGACAGAGGGGAAGGCGCGCGCCTTCCCCTTTGTCCCCTCTTTTGAAGCAAGGGGCGGAGGGGAGAAGATCGCTTCTCCCCGTTGCCGCCCCTTGGTTCAAAAGGGGTCCGGGGAGAGAGGGGAAGGCGCGCGCCTTCCCCTCTGTCCCCTCTTTTGAAGCAAGGGGCGGCAACGGGGAGAAGATTGCTTCTCCCCGTTGCCACCCCTTGGTTCAAAAGGGGTCCGGGGAGAGAGGGGAAGGCGCCAGCATTTTTAAAAACCTCGGGACAGCGGGGGACTTCTCCGCTGTCCGGGGCGATTTTAAAATGCTGGCGGGCGGCAGCGAAGCCTTCGCTGCTGCCCGCCAGCATTTTAAAAAACCTCGGGACAAAGGAGAAGTCCCCCGCTGTCCCGGGGTTTTTTTAAATGCTGCCGGGCGGCAGCGCTGCCGCCCGCCAGCATTTTAAAATCGCCCCGGACAGCGGAGAAGTCCTCCGCTGTCCCGGGGTTTTTAAAAAACCTCTCCGCCCCCCCGCCAGGCTTCGGAGCAGCCTTCCGAAGCCTGGCGGCTGGAGGAGGTCCGAGGACAGTGGGCAAGACGCGCTGCGCTTCCCCGCTGTCCCGGAGATTTCCCTATGGGCTTTCGTCTTGCGAAGGAAGCCCATAGGGAAATTGGTTTTGCGAAGCGTCTCCAAAATGGAAAACCCTTTCGTCTAGCGGGTTTTCCGTCTTGCGAGGCGTTCGTCTTGCGGGGTACCACTGTACTTGAATCCATGCCTCATCCTTGCCCATGTGGTATAAATATAATACAGTTTCCCTGACACTCCATATGCGGAATTAGTATGCAACACTAAATCAAGAAAGTCAATGATCAATTAATAGTCTGAATTTTATGAAGAACAACTATTACACAATATCCATTACTATTACACAATACCCATCAGTATTATTTACTTAGTTCAGAATGCTTCTGTTTGACTTAACAGCACAGATCACAGAGTTGTGCTTAATGATAACATAGCAAAATGATCACATACCTATACTGTAGAGGCCAGAAGGGTGCATGAGGCCAGGATAGAGAGGAGGCACTGGTTGCACTTGGCCGGGCTGAGGCTGAGGCAGAGGGCGCACTTGGCCAGGCTGAGGCTGAGGCAGCGGGCGCACTTGGCCGGGCTGAGGCTGAGGCAGTGGGTGTACTTGGCTGGGCTGAGGCTGAGGCTGAGGCAGCGGGCGCACTTGGCCGGGCTGAGGCAGTGGGTGTACTTGGCCAGGCTGAGGCAGCGGGCGCACTAGGCCGGGCTGAGGCTGAGGCAGTGGGTGTACTTGGCCAGGCTGAGGCAGCGGGAGGACTTGGCCGGGCTGAGGCTGAGGCAGCGGGCGCACTTGGCCGGGCTGAGGCAGTGGGTGTACTTGGCCAGGCTGAGGCAGCGGGCGCACTAGGCCAGGCTGAGGCTGAGGTTGAGGCAGAGGGGCGCACTTGGCCGGGCTGAGGCTGAGGCTGAGGCAGCGGGCGCACTTGGCCGGACTGAGGCAGTGGGTGTACTTGGCCAGGCTGAGGCAGCGGGCGCACTTGGCCGGGCTGAGGCAGTGGGTGTACTTGGCCAGGCTGAGGCAGCGGGCGCACTTGGCCGGGCTGAGGCTGAGGCAGTGGGTGTACTTGGCCAGGCTGAGGCAGCGGGAGGACTTGGCCGGGCTGAGGCTGAGGCAGCGGGCGCACTGGCCGGGCTGAGGCTGAGGCTGAGGCAGCGGGCGCACTTGGCCGGGCTGAGGCAGTGGGTGTACTTGGCCAGGCTGAGGCAGCGGGCGCACTAGGCCGGGCTGAGGCTGAGGCAGTGGGTGTACTTGGCCAGGCTGAGGCAGCGGGAGGACTTGGCCGGGCTGAGGCAGTGGGTGTACTTGGCCAGGCTGAGGCTGAGGTTGAGGCAGCGGGCGCACTAGGCCGGGCTGAGGCTGAGGCAGTGGGTGTACTTGGCCAGGCTGAGGCAGCGGGAGGACTTGGCCGGGCTGAGGCAGTGGGTGTACTTGGCCAGGCTGAGGCTGAGGTTGAGGCAGCGGGCGCACTAGGCCGGGCTGAGGCTGAGGCAGTGGGTGTACTTGGCCAGGCTGAGGCAGCGGGAGGACTTGGCCGGGCTGAGGCTGAGGCAGCGGGCGCACTTGGCCGGGCTGAGGCAGTGGGTGTACTTGGCCAGGCTGAGGCTGAGGTTGAGGCAGCGGCCGCACTTGGCCGGGCTGAGGCTGAGGCAGTGGGTGCACTTGACTGGGCTGCGGCTGCGGCTGTACTTCACCGGGTTGAGGCTGAGGCTGAGGCAGCGGGTGCACTTCGCCGGGCTGAGGCTGGGGCAGCGGGTGCACCTGGCCGGGCTGAGGCATTGGGCGCACTTGACCAGGCTGAGGCTGCACTTCGCCAGGCTGAGGTTGAGGCTGAGGCAGCGGGTGCACTAGGCCGGGCTGAGGTTGAGGCAGCGGGCGCACTTGGCCGGGCTGAGGTTGAGGCGGCGGGAGCACTTGACCAGGTTGAGGTAGAGGCCATGGGCGCACCAGGCCGGGCTGCGGCTGCACTTCGCCTGGCTGAGGCAATGGGTGTCCTTGGCTGGGCAGTGGCTGCGGCTGAGGCAGCGGGTGCACCTGGCCGGGCTGAGGCAGCGGGCGCACTTGGCCAGGCTGAGGCTGAGGCAGCGGGTGCACCTGGCCGGGCTGAGGCAGCGGGCGCACTTGGCCAGGCTGAGGCTGAGGCAGCGGGTGCACATGGCCGGGCTGAGGCAGCGGGCGTACTTGGCCGGGCTGAGGTAGCGGCCATGGGTGCACTTGGCCAGGCTGAGGTTGAGGCAGTGGGCGCACTTGACCGGGCTGCGGCTGCGGCTGTACTTCACCGGGTTGAGGCTGAGGCTGAGGCAGTGGGCGCACTAGGCCGGGCTGAGGCTGCGGCTGTATTTCGCCGGGTTGAGGCTGAGGCAGCGGGTGCACATGGCCAGGCTGAGGCAGCGGGCGCACCTGGCCGGGCTGAGGCCATGGGTGCACTTGGCCAGGTTGTGGCTGAGGCAGTGGGCGCACTAGGCCGGGCTGAGGTTGAGGCAGTGGGCGCACTTGGCTGGGCTGAGGCTGCGGGTGCACTTGGCCGGGCTGAGGCTGAGGTTGAGGCAGCGGGCGCACTTGGCTGGGCTGAGGCTGCGGGTGCACTTGGCCGGGCTGAGGCTGAGGTTGAGGCAGTGGGCGCACTTGGCTGGGCTGAGGCTGCGGGTGCACTTGGCCGGGCTGAGGCTGAGGTTGAGGCAGCGGGCGCACTAGGCCAGGCTGAGGCTGAGGTCGAGGCAGTGGGCGCACTAGGCCGGGCTGAGGCTGAGGCAGCGGGCGCACTTGGTCGGGTTGAGGCTGAGGTTGAGGCAGCGGGCGCACTTGGCCGGGCTGTGGCTGAGGTTGAGGCAGCGGGCGCACTAGGCCGGGCTGAGGTTGAGGCAGCGGGCGCACTTGGTCGGGTTGAGGCTGAGGTTGAGGCAGCGGGCGCACTTGGCCGGGCTGAGGCTGAGGTTGAGGCAGCGGGCGCACTAGGCCGGGCTGAGGTTGAGGTTGAGGCAGCGGGCGCACTAGGCCGGGCTGAGGTTGAGGTTGAGGCAGCGGGCGCACTAGGCCGGGCTGAGGTTGAGGTTGAGGCAGCGGGCGCACTAGGCCGGGCTGAGGCTGAGGTTGAGGCAGCGGGCGCACTTGGCCGGGCTGAGGCTGAGGTTGAGGCAGCGGGCGCACTAGGCCGGGCTGAGGCTGAGGTTGAGGCAGCGGGCGCACTAGGCCGGGCTGAGGTTGAGGCAGCGGGCGCACTTGGTCGGGTTGAGGCTGAGGTTGAGGTTGAGGCAGCGGGCGCACTTGGCCGGGCTGAGGCTGAGGTTGAGGCAGCGGGCGCACTAGGCCGGGCTGAGGCTGAGGCAGTGGGTGCACTTGGCCAGGCTGTGGCTGAGGCAGTGGGCGCACTAGGCCGGGCTGAGGTTGAGGCAGTGGGCGCTCTAGGCCAGGCTGAGGCTGAGGTTGAGGCAGCGGGCGCACTAGGCCGGGCTGAGGCTGAGGTTGAGGCAGCGGGCGTACTTGGCCGGGCTGAGGCAGTGGGTGTACTTGGCCAGGCTGAGGCAGCGGGCGGACTTGGCCGGGCTGAGGCTGAGGCAGTGGGCGCACTTGGCTGGGCTGAGGCTGAGGTAGTGGGCGCACTTGGCCGGGCTGAGGCTGCGGCCAATGGCGCACTAGGCCAGGCTGAGGCTGTACTTTGCTAGGCTGAGGCTGAGGCAGTGGGTGCACTTGGCCGGGCTGAGGCCACGGGTGCACTATGCCAGGCTGGGGCTCTGGGTGTATTAGGCCAGGCACCGGAAGCCCCAGGCCAGGCTGAGGTTGTGGGCGTACTATGCTAGGTTGGGTTTCTGGGCGTATTAGGCCAGGCACAGGACGCTCTCGGTCAGGCTGGGGCTGAGGTTGTGGGCGCACCTGACTGGGCCAAGGCTGAGACAGCGGGAACTCTAGGCCAGGCTGGGAATGAGGCAGAGGGCGCACCACGCCAGGCTGAGGCTGAGGCACATGACGCATGTTGTCCTCTGGTGCTGGGACATATTCTTGTGGCTTGGGGCATATTATGTTGACATCATGGGAGACAACAACTCTTCTGTTGCTTGTTAGTTCCTCTATCCGGACTTTCAAGTTATTGCTGTTATCCTGCAAGATGCATTGAACCAGAATGTTATAGAGTAGTTGCAAGCTTCTGTCACATTGATGAGTCAGGATGGATATAGAATACTGAGGTTTTAGAGTCAAATACCAATGTACCTGTTACAAGGCATTATCATAGTCTTGCTATGACATATGAATCTTGTTTTGATAATAAATTTAAATTTATTTGGCTGAATACCGACTAAGCTAGTGGACTGGATCGCTAGGTACCAGGTGAGAAGCATCCTCCTAAAACATCTAAAAGCTCATCTTAAATGTCTATACAACAGAGCTAATTTTCCTGACAGAGGATTTCTGCTGCAGTAGTTGGCCAAGATCATGGGCAGGATACAACTAAGCGGCGCGCATGGCATGAGGTCCAATTACTCAACATGACTTTGCCTGCTCTCCTTCCCTCGTGGATCTTGTTCCCCTTGGGCTTCACTGAGTTCTACACCCTGGTTTTAGGCTGTTCAGTTCTCTACTGCACATGTTGCTATACTTTGGAAAACAATTCTACCCTTTCTTATACTTGGACTTTCTGCATAGCCAGCTATTTGCAAAATCACTAAAGCAAAAATCAGAAGTGACCAGGGAACCTGGTGAACCTGTGCCTCTCAAATGTTGCTAGGTTCCAGAGGTAGCTATAAATGTAAAAACTAAACCCAGCCAGCATGTCTGATGGAAACTGGCAGTTGGGTAACAGGCTCCCTACCCCCAAGTTAGGCCTATTACCTGCCTTACAGCAAGGTTTCCTGAAATTATGTGCTTAGAAGAGTGGGCGACTCAAATCCTTGCACAGTCAAGAAGTTCATGGGCTGACCCTGGGCCAATCACTCCCTCTCAACCTAAAGTACCTTACAGGACTGTTGGAAGAACAGAAGGAGCTGGGAAGATCAGCAGCCCCTTTCACATGTGCATCACACGTGAAGGGGATTCATACAGAACAGGGCTACTTCTCTGCCTTTGGAGTCCATCTGCCCAAGCTGAACATCTGCAAGCAAAAGCTTACATTGCTCTTTTCCCGAGTCCTAGAACCCTAAAGAACCTTTTCATGAGGGTGAAAGAGGAGAGCACAAAATATGATCTGAAGCTCAACATCAAAAAAACGAAGATGGGCCACTGGGCCCATCACCTCCTGGCGAACAGAAGGGGAAGAAATGGAGGCAGTGAGAGATTTTACTTTATTGGGCTCCATGATCACTGCAGATGGTGACAGCAGTCATGAAATTAAAAGACGCCTGCTCCTTGGGAGAAGGGCAATGACAGGCCTAGACAGCATCTTTAAAAGCAGAGACAACACCTTGCCAACAAAGGTCCGTATAGTTAAAGCCATGGTTTTCCCAGTAGCGATGTATAGAAGTGAGAGCTGGACCATAAAGAAGGCTGATCGCCAAAGAATTGATGCTTTTGAACTAAGGTGCTGGAGGAGACTCTTGAGAGTCCCATGGACTGCAAGAAGATCAAACCTATCCATTCTTAAGGAAATCAGCCCTGAGTGCTCACTGGAAGGACAGATCGTGAAGCTGAGACTCCAATACTTTGGCCACCTCATGAGAAAAGAAGACTCCCTGGAAAAGACCCTGATGTTGGGAAAGATGGAGGGCACAAGGAGAAGGGGACGACAGAGGATGATATGGTTGGACAGTGTTCTCGAAGCTACAAACCTGAGTCTGACCTAACTGCGGGAGGCAGTGGAAGACAGGAGTGCCTGGCGTGCTCTGGTCCATGGGGTCACGAAGAGTCGGACACGACTAAACGACTAAACAACAACAGAACCCTAAACATGCTCTCAGAAGGGCTGCTTATACAATTCCCCTGAGGTCTTAAGGGCACAATCCAGATGTCCATATAAAATTATAGTGTGTTATTCAGAATGACAATGTTGGCCATGCATTATAGGGTTTCCAGGGAAGCCTGCAACACAAAATCCAGAAGAGCCTCACCTTATTTAGTACGTGACAGCCACCGTAGCCAGCAGAGAAAGCAATAGCCCCATTAGATGTGATCCAGTGGCGGCAGATTGAGCAATTCGAAACTTCAAAGGCTATCCCAAACTCATCTGTTGAGAGGTTAATGCATTAGCCACCAAGAGATGCAACAGCTCAAGAAAACTTATTTGCATTGGTTAAGACTTCTAAAGTTCTTCAGATGTGTGTCCCTTATTATCAGTTGGTGCCTGAACCACACAGAAAGAGTGTGAACTTTTCACTTGCTTTGATATCCAATAATAAGGCCAATTCAAGAGCTATGCCTCCAACAACAGGTGCTAGACCAGGCACCCCCAAACTCAGCCCTCCAGATGTTTTGGGACTACAACTCCCACCATCCCTAGCTAACAGGACCAGTGGTCAGGGATGATGGGAATTGTAGTCCCAAAACATCTGGAGGGCAGGTTTTGGGGTGCTTGTGCTAGACCAACATGTTCATTACTGCTGCAATTATTTCTGTGAGTATTCCCCATAGGACCAAGGAAAAACATTTTACAATAGTTAATATGCCTGTTAACTTGAGAGGGGACTCTGCTGGAATTCATACGTGCCAACAATTGCAGGCTTAATCAGATGCCAGACTAAGGCCACATTCACACCATACATTTAAAGCAGAATCATACTGCTTCCCATCCTCCAAAGAATACTAGGAACTGTAATTAAGCGATGCTGAGAGTTGCTTGGAGACCCTTCCAGAGCTACAGTTCACAGAGTAGTTGATCAATCCCTCTTCACAGAGAACTCTGGAAATTTTAACTCTGATGGGACTAGGGGGTACCTTAACTCTACATGCCCTTAAACTACAGCTCCCAGGATTCTTTGGGGGAAGAAGCCATGGCTGTTTAAAGTGGCATACTGCTGCTTTAAATGGGAAGTGCAGATAGAGCCTAAATTATACTGTTAAGTCTCCTAATTTTTTTAACAAGTAGAACAATTGTCTTAAAACAAGCTTTTTAATAAAGCCTAGTTTGGGGAGAATGTTTGCAGCAGTTCTTTGAGTTTCTATTCTCACCACCACGCCCTCCAAGCCTTAGCTCTAGCCACACGTACAGGAACTGCAACTCTCCCCGTGGCCTCCCCAGTTTCACAGCTTTGAGCATTTTCTTCAACTAAACTAAACCTTCTCATTCTAGATATGGAAATCCAAAACCATGCAAGAGAAAAGCTGCCATTGCCACAAAGCTGTCGCAGCCTATCGCAAAGGAGGTGGCTGGCAAGGAGCATCACTCCCATTACAAGGAGTGTGGGGTACACTCTGAAGTGCTCCACTGAAGCAACACAGCTTTAAATACAGCTGAGCAAGGCAGCTGCTGCAGCATTAAAAAAATATATAGTACTGTGGGATTTAATGGGAGCTAAAAGCCTGCAGCTTCAATAGCTTGCCAGAAATCTTTTTTCTTGGTCATTTAGACGACCAGAATAAGAGGGCAGCTACATACCTCTGCTTCCCTGTGACCTCTTCCTTTGAGTACTCCCTGGCCAGTACTAACACAGAACATACAGAGACCTGCTGTTTGGCATCCACCTTCCAAAGAACCATTCCACCTTCCAAAGAACCATTCTGCCATAGGTAAGCATAAAGCAGGGGTCCTACCACTCCAACCTTTTAAGACCCAGAGACACATTTGAGAAGCCAAGGAACTATTGTAGGCGCCACAAAAAAATGCCCATTTCACAGAGGAAAGACTGGCAACACTGGAGAAACTCCCCCCAAAGTGGAAGACACCTACACACATCTCAAAACAAATCAAACAAATCAAACAAAATGCAAGCAACCATTTCTTCAAATAACCCTTCCAAACCCTCATAATTAAAACATAATAAAAATAAATTGAGAGGGGCAGGAGACTTGGCAGACACCAAGGGAGGCACAGTGTCTGCCTGAGGAGCCCAGATAACGTTTCAAGGAGTTCCCCTATATTTCATGCCCCAACAAACACACACAGCTGACCCCCCCCCTTCTTTCTAACAGACCAGTCTTATCATTTCTTCAAGAGGAAAGAGAGTCTTCCTTACCCACAACTTTAAAGCGGACATCTCGGCCTGGGCTAGGAAACACAAGCAGCTGCATGCTGTACTCCCCACAGTTGTAATGATATGGGGAGGGTAAGGAGCCCACCCTCCAAACGTCACCTTGCCCTTGGCACAGCCCCAGAATCACCAAGATTGCTAACCCCCCCAAATCTCTGAAGCCCCAGTCCATGGCTGCAGCAGCCAAAGCAAAACAGAAGCAGAGCCCTGGCAGCCCCTCCCCATAGGAGGAAAGCTGGTGAGGACGCTGGCATTATATAGGGTCAGTGGAGGTGGGCTGGCTGAAGCAAGAACTCATCAGGGAGCAGAGCCTGCACCTGGGGAGCCACCCGCAGGGAATTAATAGGGGACCGGGTCAAAAGTGCAAAACCCGGCCAAAAGAGAAAACGCCTCTGCTCTCCCAATAGTAATCTCTCTTCCACTTGCTATGAATGGACACGAGGCAGCAGAAATCGAGAGAGACTTGTTCTTCCACTTTTTTGGGGTCACATTTGTACCCCACTCTTCATCCAAAAAAGCTCCCAGACCAGCCTTCATACAGTCAAAACAAGACAGTCCCTATACGCCGGCTTGCAAGCCCCACCCCTCCAAAAAAACACCCAAAAAGAAAACACGACATGCAAAGAAAAGGAGACAAGGAGGGTTCAAGTCCTATGAACACTTACCGGTATGTACTTGGGACTCAATCGATCTCACTGAATTTAATGGCTCCTGTATCAAGAGTTCCCAGGTGATAGCTGCCCTTTCCTAATTTTCCATCCACCTGATTGCCCTTCTGTTTTTATCTTTTGCCCCTTGTTCTTCCTTCACCTCTTTCCTTCTGCTTCACTCTTCTTTTTGAGATTTCATCCTTGCCCTTCCTGGCAGGACTCTTGTGTCTTTAAGGGATGTGGGAATGGGGAAGCAGGAGCTTTACCTATACCCCCCAACCCCCCCCACACACATTGGTTAAAGCTTCTTCTGTTGCACCCCTTACTGTTACACAGCAGATAAAGACAATGGAACCCTGATGGGAAAATAGGTTTGCCAAACCAATTTTATTCTGAGAATCCCCACCATTTTACACTTCTCCACAGAATGTGGTTTATAATAGGTTTTGGAGTGAAGCTTGGTTCTTTCCCTTGAACACGGCGCTGCTTAAATCCAAAAGGAAGTACTGTCAGAAAACACAGCAGACTCAGCTCATTTGATGATTGTTTGGGATGTCCTCCTTTCATTCATTCATGTTATAGTGTGAGGTTCCATTAACCGATAGTCCTTGTTTTGCCTTTGGGAACATTGATGTGCCTCTGCTATGGAAGTGGCACGACAGAAGGCAGGGTTGTTGTCTGGTCCTTAAAACACTTAGGGCAGAGGTTCACAACACAAATCTGAACAATATTTGCATATACTAATTTATATGTACAGATTTAGACTGGTTTTCAGAGCCTCTCTATAACCAACATAATTTTTTTAAGTTTTAATAAAAATGTGTGTGTTTGTGTGTGAGAAATGTGAAGCTCCCTGAACCGCTCCCTAACAATAAAGGTAAAGGGACCCCTGACCATTAGGTCCAGTTGTGACCGACTCTGGGGTTGCGGTGTTCATCTCGCTTTTTTGGCCGAGGGAGCCGGCGTACAGCTTCTGGGTCATGTGGCCAGCAGGACTAAGCCGCTTCTGGCGAACCAGAGCAGCGCACGGAAACGCCGTTTACCTTCCTGCCAGAGCGGTACCTATTTATCTACTTGCACTTTGATGTGCTTTCGAACTGCTAGGTTGGCAGGAGCTGGGACTGAGCAACGGGAGCTCACTAGGCTCTGTGGTTTAACCCACAGCGCCACCCGCGTCCCTAACAATACCCTGGCATTAATTAAACTTTTAATTATTCACATTTTCATAGAATTATAGAGTTGGAAGGGACCCTGAGGGTCATCTAGTTCAACCCCCTGCAATGCAGGAATCTCGGCTAAAGCATCCATGGCAGGTGGCCATCCAACCTCTGCTTTAAAACCTTTCTACCAGTCTTGTCCTTTAAAGGCAATGCCAGTGCATACTGAGACAGAATACTGATCACCATTAAAATGTGTTTGTGTTTATCATCATCATCAATAAATAAAACATTGTGCTTGGAAATAGGTTGCTATCTACTTACAACACCAAGATCAAACATACTGGGGCCAGGCTGTGAGACTTTGTGGTGAGTAGTAACAGTTAGAAATTCTCTTGGAAGAAGGTGCTGCAGAAATAAAATCCTTTCTAATATGTACCATCATATTAGGAGCACATTTTCAGTTCATCTTTTTTCTCCCTTTTCATTTCAGTAACATGAGTAGCAGCGGACATTCTGTGATGATATGCAATCGCTCGTCACACAATTTCACATTAAAAAGAGCATCTTCTCCATATTTCTGCAAAGCTATCAAAGGATCTGGGTGGGTTCTGGTCCTCTAGGGTTATGCTAGTTTTGCACAAAGACACTTCCCAAAGTCAATTAAAGGGTCAGCGCATGAAAGTGTGTGCTTAACCCCATTACCACAGGGAATTCAGGGCAGTTTGGTGGAACATTTATGGAAGCTTGCGTTGTCCAGAGTCAAGGGGTACTTCCCAAATGTGGCTTTTAGGGCTCCCTCACCCATTATTACTCCTCCTCTGTAAGCGACATGAGAATCTACAATTGACACTTTGTGGGTGAGATTATAGTGCTTTCTGTGTGCATGTACATCAGGCTGTGCTCTAGCTGTGATATAGGATGCAATCAGGGCTTTTTTTCAGCTGGAACTCACCAGAACTCAGTTCCAGCACCACTCAGACATGCCCCATTGCCATTCTAAGAGAACAAGGAAGGTGTTGTGAGTTCCAGCACCTCTTTTTCTAGAAAAATAGCACTGGGTGCCATCATTATTTTAGTGATTATTTCTTTGATAAAGACCACAGTTTCACAAAACAAAACTGTCATAATGTCTTTTATTTGAAAAACAAATTTGGAAGGGAGCAGGCGGCGCTGTGCTCTAAACCACTGAGCCTCTTCGGCTTGCCGATCGGAAGGTCGGTGGTTCAAATTACCGCAATGCGGTGAGCTCCCGTTGCTCTGTCCCAGCTCCTGCCAACCTAGCACTTTGAAAGCACACCAGTGCAAGTAGATAAATAGGTACCGCTGCAGCAGGAAGGTAAATGGTGTTTTTGTGCGCTCTGTTGCACCAGAAGCGGTTTAGTCATGCTAGCCACATGACCTGGACAGCTGTCTGTGGACAAATGCCGGCTCCCTAGGCCTGAAAGCGAGATGAGCACCATACCCCATAGTTGCCTTTTAATTGACTTAACCGTCCAGGGGTCCTTTACCTTTTTACCTTTTATTTGAATGTTTCAAATACGTCAGCACCAAAACCTTTTGTCCTTTTGATCATAAGAAAAGCTAGCAAACAGCATTGCTGCTGCAAAAATCAGCTCCCTGGGGGCATCTAGTGGACAAAAAAGGGAAATGCTAACACTCAGTTAAATGCCTGATACTTCTGATATGACTGGGGATGAAAACTCTTTAAAGTACAAATTAAAGCAGTAGTTGCTAGGCAACAACTATTAATAGTACAATCCTATGGGTCCCACTAAATTCAATGGGACTGAGGTTCTGGTAAACAGGATTAGGACTGCAACCTGGGTGTCATAGAATCAAAGAACTGAAGATTTGGAAGGGACCCTGAGGGTCATCTAGTCCAACCCCCTGCACTGCAGGAATCACAGCTCTTAGCTTTCTTTGAAACAATAAATGAAAACTGTATAAATGCAAAACAGCATCCATATAATGATACCAAAATGACAGCCCTGCTGCCCCATTTGATCTGCAGAAAAGATAAGGTGGAGGCTGGGGAGAAAACCTGTTGCCAATGTTGCTTGCATTTTAAACAGAAGACGTCATCATTATGGGTGCTTTTAGTGTGGGACTTAATCTTGCATATTCTCACTCTTTGATTTGTTTTGTCTTTATCCACCATACAGTATCGTCTTTCCTATATCCCATAATTCACTGACACTCTTCAGCAGCACTGCTCTGCATTCCATCTTTACTTTTTCCAGTTGCTAATGCTTGCCTAAGATTCTAGTCATCCCTGGGGGAAGCCATTTGTTTGTACGTCTTTGAAAGGACCATGCAATCTCTGCAAACTGAATTAAATCTGAAAATGGTATGCCTTCGGAGAAGGAACCCTGCATCTTATTAAGACTGAAGCATAATTCATCACTGTTCCATCAGAATCAAATTCCCTTGCAAGCTTGTTCATCGCTGGCATGCTAATCACCCACACTGGGAATATTTTGTAGCTGCACATGGCAAAATTGGCACATGTACAGTCAACACATTTGACTGTGCACACAAAATGTATACGCTTGTGACTTCGGACTTAGGGAGGCTGCATGTTGTTATGAATATGAATAGGATCACCAAAGGTGGATTGTTAAAAAATGGGGTGTTGCTCTTTGCCACTCACTAGAGGAGGGTTTCATGGGGTTTGTTTATCCTTGTTCTTCCTTTAGCTATTTTAGTTCACTTGAAGGTTCCATGTAATTAACAGTCTAGTCTTGGTAGCCTGCAGCAGATATTTGCACATAAATAGCGGCAGTTCATTGTACAGTGCCAACACATGCGGACAGTAGCTAATCTTTGCCAAGTCTTTTTCGCTACTGCCTTGGCCGTTTGTTCCTCCTCCTTGCGTGCAACAAGTAGCCACAGATTTGTTCTGGCTTCTGAAAATTATCAGGCTTTTCTGGTATTGCTAAGCTCCTAAAAATGGTCAGAAATGGTTCTACTGAGCAAGGCTGAACTGGAAATAGTTTTTGGGTGGGTTGACTGAAACAGGTAGTGCTTAATTGGGAAGAGAATTTGCCAGAGCCTTGGTAGATACTTTTTTTTATTCAGTAGAGGTGAACCAGCAGAGGTCTTTCTGAACCAGTGGGCACAATTGGAATTTAGAGAAAGTGCTATGGGCACCAGTTACAAAAATGCAAGCAAACCTCCACTTCCCATCAATGGTGAGGAGAGTGGAAAGGTACCTACATCAGCCACTACCGTGCTTGCAGAGAGAGAGAGAGAGAGAGAGAGAGAGAGAGAGAGAGAGAGAGAGAGAGAGAGAGGGAAGGAAGCTCTTTGAACCTGACCTCTGTTCTGAACTTCCCGGCGGTCAGGTGGTGATGTTTCTATTTTACTTACTATATGTAGGGTTTGGTGTCAGCATTGCTTGTGCCGGTTCTTTGCTGTTCACTTGTGTTCCTTTGGTGGTGAGAGAGGTTGGGGTTGGCCTAGGGTGTGGTTGTTCATTTGTGGTTGGCTGTGGTGGTTTTTGTTTTCATGTGTGAGTGGGGTGGGTGGGTGTTTTGGATCAGGTTAGCCATATTGATTTGTATGCTGTTGGTGGATTTTTGTCGTTGTCTTGTTGGGCTGTGTATGTGATAAAGGGGAGCTATACCGGGGTGAAGGTGTCTCCTTCTATTTGTCCCCGTGTCAGTTTCAGTTTGTTGGTTAATTTTCCTAGTAGGGCTGTTTCCCATACTATTTGGTACCATTGCTGAGGCATTATGTAATTGCAACTGGTGGGCACTAGTGAGCACGCTGGCACCTACAGGAGCCTGTGTGGCAACCTTATATCCCCTTCGGACACAGCCAAGTGAGAGCTGCTTTTCCATGGGGCCACCCCACATGATAGAAGGGTATACATACTTAAGATATGAATGAGTTCCCTCCTTCTCTTTACATAGTTCATTTTGCACATCTTATATCCCTGCATATTTTACAAAAACTACCAGTCGGTTTTCCATTATTACATCCATCAAAACTTATTTACACTGCTGACTTTACCTTAATGGTGCCAGTGTTTTCAGCCGTACACAATTATTTTCCACATATTCAATAAACATTTTCCAATCTTCTTTAAACATATGTTCTTCTTGTTCTCTTATTCTGTATGTAAAGTCTGCAAGTTGTGCATATTCTGTTAACTTCAGTTGCCATTCTTCTTTGGTTGGGACCTCGCTTGTTTTCCATTTGGGGGCTAGCAAAACATGGGCCACAGTTGTTGCACACATAAATAACCTTTTCTGACACCTGGGAATTTCAGTCTGAATTATCCCTAACAGAAAGGACTCTGTTTTTTTGGGAAAGCAATTTTAAACATTTTTTTTTTAATTCATTCTAAATGATTTCCCAATACTTGTAATTATTATTTATGTAATTTCAGTGGTTTAAGAAAAACACTGTAATTCTTTTAATTTTAAGAGGTGTCATCAGGGGCTGTCATATAACTCAGTGCACGATCTGTGATCCAAATCCAGATGTTCACATTCTACAAAAACAGAAGTATGTATGCAAATGCAGAGACACACTTCAGACAGAAAGAGAAACCTCAGCTTTGCTGGTTTCTTTGTATACAGCACAATTTTGAGGAGGCTGCCACAATGGGAAGCATGACAAATGGTTTTTCTGTCACTAACACCTTAGTTGCAGCTAAAGGAACCTGTCAGTTATGCTAGTGTGCCAACATACAGGCCTAGGGACCAATCCAAACCCATGATCTACTTAGCTGTCCAATTCAGCCAGCTTCTTATAGTTAGGATTGCTTTGCATGGCTCCATATATTCCCCATGGACCATCTTGGGTGTTACGAGCAGCAGAGGGGGCCCTTTTGGTAGTAACACTGCCCTCAGAAGTTTGGGGAGTGGCAGCCCACTCTCGTGGGCTACTTGGACAGATTGCCCACCTGCCAATCACCTGACAAAACTTCAAACGAAATAGTCTGGAGTGCGCTCCCAGTTCTTCCTTCCTTTCTTTGCAGAGGGAGCTTAGCTTGAAACTACGCTTGCAGAAGAAAAATGATTCCCCCCACCCTTTTCAGCCCAGCTTGAATTCAAGACAGGGATGTGAAGGAAGATTTGGGAGCGCACTGTGCCCATTGTTCCTTTGTAGTCAAAAGTGAGTGCTTTTTTGAATCTGGTGCCTTTTCCTGTCACCTTGATCTTGTCAATCACCTTTTGTGTTTTGTAGTTGTGGTTTATTTTATTTCTAATGTGCTAGCTTTGCAGAGCTTGAAATGTCCCTTTCACCCAAGTGCTTAAGATCAGACAGAACGGGGGGGGGGGGGATTATTGTCCCCATTTGACAGATGAGCAAGTGTAGCAAAGGGGCCCCAATCACACCCCCCCCAAAGAAGCATGAGACAGGCAGAAGGACTGAAAGCAGTTCGCAGAGGCCTAACACTGTCACAGGGGCTTCTGATCACACAATTGTCTTTCTGATGAGTGCTCTCGAAATACCATGTCACAGGGATATTCTCACTCCGACGGTCTTCCGTGTGTGGGATGATTCATTGGTTCTGGAGAACTAGAATACGTCACCTGAGCTGGCTTTCCTTCCTTCCGCTATTAGAAATTGCTCTTTCCAACCGGGCCAAGATGAAGCTCGAGGAACTTCTGGATCTCCTTCCAGGAGTGCTCTTGGGCTTTGGCGTGCAGTTCCACTTCACCTCCCCATTGGTTAGGCAAGAGGGTACTCCGGAAAGAAGAGCAGTAGCAAAGCGGGGAACCGGGGGGTTCTAGGAGGTGCCCAGCCCCCGGATACGATAGCAAAGCACAGTTCCTTTTCCCATGCTGCTTTGCTCTGGCTATGGCCGCCTCAGCAAATAACTTGCTGTTTAGGCTTTGGTCGCTTTCTGACACCACAAAGAGCACGGGCCCTTGGGCCTTCTCTAGAGGGATGGCAGAGGAGTGATGTCTTTCATCCAAAGGATCTTCCATGACGTGGTAAGAGGACATTGTCCCCATTTCGGTGATGAGAACCTTCTCAACAGCATAAGGGATGGCAGGGATATAGATGTCACGAAAGCGAAGTGAGGCGCCTCTCATACCTGTGGCACCATTGATGCACACAGCAGCCACGATCTGGTCTAAGAAGGTAATCATGGCCAGTGCGATTTCCGATCCTTTGGACAGCCCAACGACTCCAAGGCCCGGGCCTCTGACCTGGCGGGGGGAGGAGGGAGGGAACCACACATAGCTATTTCATCAACGGCATGAGAGGCAGATGCAAGTAGAGTTTTGTAAGAAGGAAGGCTATAAACAGGTTTGTTCAGAAGGAAGAGTGATTCTACACATGGTGTAGGGTGAGTTAGTAGACTGAGATGGCCAAATGCTGGATCGTACATCAGACTGCCTATAACCCTTTCTAACTGGCTCCTTCTGCACTAGGGCCCTTTCACACAGCATTGAATATAGTGGAATATTATCTAGTGGTGCCCTTCCTTACAGCCAAGCTCTTTCTAAACGGTTTATACACAACTGAGTCCTGCTCAGCAGAGATCTCCTGCCAGGCTAATGAGCAGCTTCCTCTCTGCAGCTCCTTCCCCTTGGATGTATTGCTTCCTCTTCAGCAGGGCTGGGGAATTAGCGATGAATTACCCCTTCAAACTAACCTGAGCTCCTGCTCATGTCCTACCTGATCACTGGCTGCGCTGGCTGGGGCTGATGGGAGACCGAGTCTGGTAACAAGCTGGAGGACCACAGGTGTCCCACCTCTGCCATACACAGTCAGCTTCTGCTCCCCACAAAATGTGTGTGTGTGCGCGCACTGTCTTATGCGTGTCCGTTTTTAGCCAGATCAATTCCATACAAAGACAAAATGATGCTTGGGAGATCCTACTGTACTGTACAAAACCTGGGAACTACCTAGCGATGCCTGTGTTAGTCTAGCTTTGTCTGATCAAGTGCATATCACTATATATTCCAGAATCCTGTTTGGTGCCACTTTGACAGTGGATTCCTTGTGGGGATCCAGGCTTCTCCTGCACCCTCGTGGGTCAGTTTTAACAGGTGGGTGGGACCACACACCTACAAGTCACTTAACATCATTATGATGTCAGATGATTGAGAGGTGGCTCGCCCGTCAAAGTTGGCCTGCCAGGCCAAAAACGTTCCTCACTCCTGATCTATTTTAATCTCTGTTGTCCCACTACAGAGTGCCCTTGCAATGAGATAGAAGAAAATATACCCTCTCAGACACACCTTGGGATGTTTTAAGAGTAGTATGGATGCTTCCTCAAAATATTCCAGGTCCACTTCTTCCAGGCTCTGTGGGAGGTCATCATAGCCAAAGAAAGCCAGAGCTAGAACAGCAAAGCCTTTATTGGCCAGCAGGATGGCTCGAAACTCAATGAGACCTCCAGACCCACCAAATAGGTCAATCACCCCTGGAAATGGCCCAGGCCCTGCAGAGAGTCCAAGAAAGGGAGAGCAACTATGAGTGAAGGTATTTGTAATTGTCTGGAATAAGAACCTCCCTGCCTGCCTGCCTTTGGAGGTCTCTGAGACCATGCAGGGTGGGGTGGAGGAAGGGGGTGACCTTGGAGAGGACAATAAAAGCAACCTGGGCATGTGAGCAATGTGTGTCCCACAATGAGGGAAGAGAAGGACTGCACGATTGTAGAGAAGGTTCAGAAACAAATGGAAAAGTTGCCTACAGACATGTGGGAAGAAGGAAAATGCAGTGAAGAGGTAAAGGAGAGGGGGCACTTCTCTTTATTCTTATAACCCAGAATGTATTATAGGACTCTCTCATCCAGGTACCGATGAAGCCCCAGCCCACATAGGTTCATCTATGCATTAAGTGCTCGCAGACCATCTACTGAGCCCACTAGGCCAGAGCAGGCCCACTGATGGGGTGGTGTGAAGCATCTGCCTCACCCTGCCTGCCCCACTGCTGGTGGAATGCCCCCCTGTCGCTAGTGAGAGGGAGGCATTATGGCATGTGGTGTTGCCGTTCATCTTCTCTGCCCCTGAGAAGATGTTCTGACAACAGCGGAAGTGGGGTGGGATGCAGCAGCGAGGGTAGCCCATTTCCATTTCACCACAAGTTGCGAAACAGGGGTGGGCTGGCACTGCGCTAGGCCATTCCTCATTGTAGTTAATCACCCAGGAGGGGAGAGAAAGCACAAATCAGTTTTCTTACCTGGTGGCAAGAAAAGGGCGCCCCGAACTTTGCCTTCTCTGACCTGGACACGTTCCACTCCATGGGCTGCGTACCATCTCTCCACAGTGCAAGTGGCCAGTGGTACATTGTTGGGTGAAGGAACTAATACCACAGAGCCAAAGAGGCTGACCTGGACACGGAAAGGGCTGCCTGTCACGTTGCGTTTCATCAGCCTGCGGAACTTTTTCTCTGGCTTCAGGGAGGAGAAGAGGCCCATGGGCCAAACACCTACATAGTCCCCGCCTAGAGCAGCCGCCTGCTTCACGTCTACCTCCCCAGACAGATTTGCCCGGAAGTGGGCTCTGGATTGAAACTTCTCTCCCATGTCATCTGTAAGCAATGCATGCAGGGTTACCACCTGGGAAGGGTCCAGGCCAGAGGCGCGAATCCACACGGGTGAGTCAGCTAGTGAGCTTTTTGGGGTGACAGTGAGGCAGGCCATGGCAGCAACCTGAGGAAAGTGAATCAGTGACATTTCCAGTAAGTTTGGGAACTGTAAGAACGAATGGAGGAGGTGCTCAGCTTCCCTACTTCCCCTAGGGCAATTCTTGCCCTTAACCTCTGATTGAAGCTCTCTCCTTTATATCCTGCCTTTCCTCTTTTACACACACACTTTTATCCTCTGAACTTTGTGAGGTAGATTGGGATGAGCTTAGCAACTGGCTGAAGATAATTCAGAAATCTTTATGGCTGAGGAGAAAATTAAAACTCCATTCTGTCCTAGTTCAAGGTTGGTAGTCGACCAAGTTTTACATCAGAGCTTTCCAAACTGTGTGTTGCAACACATGAGTGTGTTGTCAGCAACAGTGTGCGGGTGTGTCGTTCAAATGCTCCCCACACTCCTCCTGGGGCTGGTAAAGGGTGCAGGCAGCCCAGTGGATTGCTAGTAAAACTGAATTACCGTGCTGCAAAACGATGCATGTTTAAAAAGTGTGTCGCCAACATGAAAAGTTTGGAAAGTTCTGTTTTAGACAGAGCAGGCCCCCTGAAATTAATTGACGTGACTAAGTTAGCTTGATTAATTTCAGTGCATCTACTTTGAGTAAAACTCAGCTGACACAGGCTTTTAAGCAAGTTCTTTTCTTCCTTGGAGCTGAAACTCCATGCACTGAACGGTTTGCTCACTCGCGCGCTGCAAGAAGCCCGCCTGCCTGCGCCCGCTTGCAATCAAAGCTGCACTTGGAAGCGGGGCCTTTGCTTCCCGTTGCCGCTGTGGCCGTGCTGGCTGCGGCTGATGGGAGCTGCACAACAACCCCGGCTGGGAGGTCGCCGCTTCCCGCTCCGCCCGCCAAAGGTTTGGGGGAGCGCGGCGAGCGGATCTTCCTTCCCCTCCAGGCGTCTGCAAATCCTCCCCGCCTTTCCCCGCGCGCCCGGGCGACGGTGGGTTCTGCACTCACCGCGACTTGAATGGCTCAGGACCCGGAGGAGTTGCAGCCGCCAGCTCCTCTCTCTCGCTGCTCCGCAGGTGCCCAGTACCTTGTCGGATCCTCGCCAGGGTAGTGCCTCCCCGGGCAGGGCACGATCCTGTGGAAGGGCGCCAAGCAGGGAGTTGCTCTGTCCTGCGCCACGTGACTTGGCGCGGCTCCCTCTGGAGCAAAAGGAGGACAGATAAGGCGAGGCAAGTCGGTGCGAGAAGTGAAACCTCACCCCACCCACACCCGCGCTGCCTGGTGTTACTCAAGGAGGGTGGGTGGCGAGGTAGCTGCCCCTCCTCACCGCCAGATGAGTCGTCCTCCCCACATTTCCAGCTTTCATGGCCTTTGGCTCAAAAATGTGTAAAGTTATTTCCTTTCGTTTTCCAGATTGCTGTTTCTGTCATGGTATGCTTTAGATGACATCCCTGCATTGCAGGGGGTTGGACTAGATGACCCTGGAGGTCCCTTCCTACTCTGCAGTGATTCTGCATCTCATCCGATTGTTTCAGTCCTTCCCCTGGCCTTTGAGAGAACTCTAAACAAATGTACAGGGTGAGTCCTTTGAAAGAGGCCCTGTGGATACAGAGTACACATGTTCCAGGGGCCTCTTTTAAAAGACCCACCTTGAACATGCCAGTGTGAGAAATGATTCTGTGTGAACTGCCGGTGCTTTTTAAATGGGTAGCTTCACTTTGTCATGTTTGTTGTATTTATCAGTTAGCTAGATGGCATTTTAAAGTATTTAACCCCCATCCTTCCTTTATGGAGGGTGCAATGAGATTAAGGGCCACTATCTGAACTATCTTGGCCATTTGATTGCTCTTTTTAGCCATTGCTGTCTTTTTTTATTTGTATATATTTTATTTGTATATATTGCTTGTTTTATGTTGTTATGGCCGTTGGCTAATGCAAATAAAATTCATCTATGTTTAAACCCCCATTCTATAAGCTGCCTTGAAAGTTCAACTAGCTCAGGGAGACAGCATAGAAATTGATTAAATAAATAAAATACAGCTAACATCAGAAGAGGTGGTATGTGATTGTTCTAAACATTATTGACCCTGATTTAGAAAGCTTACCTTGCTGGCTAAGAAATTGTGTATGCAGTTTAGATACAAACATGCAATTTGATTTGCAACTCCCAGTGTCACATGTGGTAAACACACTCACCCAAGAAAGAAGAGGTGGAGGTCCAATTCTAGAAGCAAAAGGTGGGCACTTCTACTCTGTGCATCCCATTTGCTGTTAAAGTCAGACCTCTAATTTTGCAAATGATAGAGCTACAGGGGAGCTGTGAGGTAGGTAGCCAAGTTTGTTGAAGAGACCAGATTTTTCAGGGTGTATAAAACAAAAAGGAATTGCAAATGAGCTACAAAGGAATTATCCAAACTGGGTGACTGAATCCCATTTGCCAGTGTGACTTAGTTCAAAGTGGTCAGGGTCATTTTGGTGATCTATAAATGGCTTTGATGAAATTGTTTTTCTGGAGCTTTTTTATTCTCTACCACAGAGCCTTCTCCCCCTTACAGATGGGTAGCCGTGTTGGTCTGCCATAGTCAAAATAAAAAAATCCTTCCTGTAGCACCTTAAAGACCAACTAAGTTAGTTCTTGGTATAAGCTTTCGTGTGCATGCACACTTCTTCAGATACACTCTGTGTATCTGAAGAAGTGTGCATGCACACGAAAGCTTATACAAGAACTAACTTAGTTGGTCTTTAAGGTGCTACAGGAAGGATTTTTTTATTATTCCTTCTCCCCCTGTAACTGTAGATCAGTGTTTCCCAACCGGTGTTCCGCGGCACACTAGTGTGCCGCGAGACGTTGCCTGGTGTGCCGTGGGAGGGAGGCGGGTGAGTCGGGCGGCGAGAGGCGGGGCGGCGGCGGCGAGGATCCGCGTCGAGCCGGGGGCGGCTCCGCGGTGGTGGTGCCGAGGTTTCTCTCTCCATTCTCCCCTCACACACACACACAGGAAATAACACAGGATCAGCTGACAGGACCCGGCCAATGGGGCGGCGGCGGGGCAGCGCGCGCAAAAGGGAGGAGCGCGAGACGGCGGCGGCGCAGGGCGGGAGGGCGGCGCATTGCGCGTGCTCAAACCCGCCCTCCAAGGCGCAGAGGGGAGCTGGGCAAGCGCCTTCTTCAACCACGCGCTCGTTTAAAGAGGCAGCGCCCGGGCGGAACAGAACTCTGTGCCTCTCGCCTAGGGATGAAGGCGGGCACCGGCTTAAGCCAGTAGTAGCCTAATAATGCATTAACTTCCGTGGGACTTCCAAGTAAACACAGTAGCCCAGCGCCTCCCTCCCCAAAAGGAGGGGGAATTACAGCAGCGCAGGCGACTCCTGCGTCTCCCCGATATTTAAGGCTGCCATCCCTCGTGCACACTTACGCGGGAGCAAAACCCCGTGAACAAACTAGGGCTTACTCCAGAGTAAATACGGGTAGGATCTGGCTGCAGTTGTACAAGAAGAAGCAATTGATAACGTTTTCGCGCCTTCGGGATTGCCTTCACGCCTTCCTCCTCCCGGGTCCTTGAGAGCGCGGGAAGCGGCAGCGCGAGACCGGCGTTGAGCCTGGTAGGTATTGCACTTGCCAAGGCAGTCATTTGGGAAATGAAAACTTGCAAAGCAAGCAACCAGTTCAATCTGAAGTACGTGTATGCTTAATATCCTGTATCTGAAACCTGTTCTGCCCCCTCCCCCACACTTGGTGCTATTTTCATCTACACATGCAGCAGAGTAAGTTGACCCAGAATAGTACCAATTCAGATGGGAGAATGACAGTGCTGAATGCTTTCCCATGTAGAACAGTCCCTGCAAATAAAAACCTAGCATATTTGGAAGAGGGATGCTAGCCTAACCATTACCTTCTATGCTGTTACTATTTTTTTTTATATAAGTAAAAAGTGACCTTTCCCCATCTGGCATGGTGGTGTGCCTCGAGATTTTTTTCATGAAACAAGTGTGCCTTTGCCCAAAAAAGGTTGGGAAACACTGCTGTAGATAACTCTTTATGTGTGAAAAAATACATAGCTCACATGTAACATTAACTCTGCCCCTCTCCAATATTGTTCTTTGGTAAGATGGTTCATTCTGAATAGAAATAATATTTTAGCCAACTATAAGGTGTATTGGATGAGGAAATCATTCCCTCTAATAGCAAACTCTAGGAGGGATGTTTGACACTGTCTTTAACTGTTTTAAAGCATCAGACAAAGACTTTCTCTTTTCACAGGTTTTTGGACCTTAGTTTGAAGTGAGACGGGACGCGGGTGGCGCTGTGGGTTAAACCACAGAGCCTAGGACTTGCCGATCGCATGGACGGCGGTTCGAATCCCCGCGGCGGGGTGCGCTCCTGTTGCTCGGTCCCAGCGCCTGCCAACCTAGCAGTTCAAAAGCACGTCAAAGTGCAAGTAGATAAATAGGGACCGCTTACTAGCGGGAAGGTAAACGGCGTTTCCGTGTGCGGCTCTGGCTCGCCAGAGTAGCTTCGTACGCTGGCCACGTGACCCGGAAGTGTCTGCGGACAGCGCTGGCCCCCGGCCTCTAGAGCAGTGTTTCCCAACCGGTGTTCCGCGGCACACCAGTGTGCCGTGAGACCTTGCCTAGTGTGCCGTGGGAGGGAGGCGGGAGAGGCGGCGGCATCTCCTGCTGGATGCAAATCCAAACATCGCGGCGCCCGAGATCGCTTCTCCCCACCGCCCCTTGCTTCAAAAGAGGTCCGGGGACAGCGGGAAGCGCTTCGCGCTGCCCCCGGACCTCTTTTGAAGCAAGGGGCTGCGGGGAGATCGCTTCTCCCGGTGCTCCGAAGCGGGGCGGGGGCGGCAGCCTGCAGCGCGGAGCGCCCTTTGGAGGACGCCCCGTGCTTCGCGCAGCTGTCCGCAAGCCTTGGGTGCCTGGGGGAACTCCCCCCCGCGCGCAAGGCTTGCGGGCGGCAGCCTGCAGCGCGGGGCGCCCTTTGGAGGACGCCCCGTGCTTCGCGCAGCTGTCCGCAAGCCTTGGGCGCCTGGGGGAACTCCCCCCCCGCGTGCACGCCTTGCGGCGGCAGCCTGCAGCGCGGAGCGCGGGGCGTCCTTCGGAGGACGCCCCGTTCTTCGCGCAGCTGTCCGCAAGCCTTGCGCGCCCAGGGGAACTCCCCCCCGCGTGCACGGCTTGCGGGCGGCAGCCAGCAGCGCGGAGCACGGGGCGCCCTCCGTAGGAGGCTGCGAAGGGTGGCGCGGAGCTGCCCGCGCTCCAGGGCTTCTTGCAGCTCCGCGCCACCCCCGGATCCCGGTGCGAAGCCGCGCGGGGCTGCGGAGGGTGGCACGGAGCTGCCTGCGCTCCAGGGCTTCTTGCAGCTCCGCGCCACCCCCCGGATCCCAGCGCGAAGCCGCACGGGGCTCTGGAGGGTAGCGCAGAGCTGCCTGCATCCCGAAGCCTGGTGCGCGCTGAAGAGCGCCCCCGGGCTTCACGCACCTCTCCGCAAGCCTGGGGAGACCAGTGTGGCTCCCTAGGCTTGCGGATATCAGGCTGTTCTGGGGGCTGGGGTCGGGGGAAGCTTGGGCTTCCCCTGCGCCTGCCCCGTGCCTGGGGAGGGGAAATTTTTTTTTTCTTTATTCTCCCCCCCAAAAATTAGGTGCGTCTTATGGGGCAGTGCGTCCTATGGGGCGAAAAATATGGTAGTCAATATAGGCACAGAGTTAATTTTTTTAACATTTTCTAATGGTGGTGTGCCTCGAGATTTTTTTCATGAAACAAGTGTGCCTTTGCCCAAAAAAGGTTGGGAAACACTGCCCTAGAGTCTGCCAAGACTGGCCCGTACGGGCAGGGGTACCTTTACCTTTACCTTTTGAAGTGAGACATTGTGGCCTTTTTGAGTGGGGATGGGATCTGTAAATCCTCATTTTTATTTGTGTAGCTGTGTTTTTATATTTTTATCAGATGTTCTTAATTGGTTTTAATAATGCAAGTTGCTTTGGGTCATCACTCTGTGAGAAAAGTGACATATTTTTTGTTACTATTATTCTCAGCAGAGGGCTTTGTAGGGCTTCTGGGAAACAAAGAGAATCCCAAGGTTCACATAAGTTAAACATTTTTTTGGGGTGGGGGGTTATCTATGGGGAACACCCCCTCCAAAAAATGAAAACCAGGGAGGGGGGAAGGGAATGAAGAATCTTGGGAAGGGGCATGGCTGGCTGGAGCCTTCAATCAAAAGCACTCCATGCTACGTTTAGGTGTGCTTATGTTGTGATATTTCACACTTGATGAAGATAAAGCTGTTT